AGAGTACGCCAGGTGTATCACCAACTTCTCCAGCGCAGAATTAAATATCATCAAGGGTAAGAAATATAACTAGCTAGCTAGCTAGCTAGCTAGCTAGCTATATGTATTATCTAGCTAGCTAGCTAGCTAGCTAGCTAGCTAGCTAGCTAGCTAGCTAGCTAGCTATATATATTATCTAGCTAGCTAGCTAGCTAGCTATATATATTATCTAGCTAGCTAGCTAGCTAGCTACATATATTATCTAGCTAGCTAGCTAGCTAGCTATATTATCTAGCTAGCTAGCTAGCTAGCTATATTATCTAGCTAGCTAGCTAGCTAGCTAGCTAGATAGATAGATAAATAGATAGGTAGTTCTCTATCTAGCTGTGAGTCTAGCTAGCTAGCTGGCTAGCTAGCTAGCTAGCTGGCTAGCTAGCTAGCTAGCTGGCTAGCTAGCTAGCTAGTCACACATATAACTGATTAGCTCTGCTGCTAGTGCACCTGCAGCTACTGCTGCATCTACTATAGCTACATCTGTGCTGCTACTACTGCTGCTGCTGCTGCTGCTGCTGCTGCTGCATCTGCATCTGCTGCTGCTGCTGCTGCTGCTACTGCATCTACATCTCCAGCTGCATTTACATCTGCTGTTACTGCTACTGCTGTTGCTGTTGCTGCTGCTGCTGCTGCTGCTGCTGTTGCTGCTGCATCTACATCTGCTGCTACTCCTTCTGCTGCTGCTGCTGCTACTGCTACTTCTACTGCTGCTGCTGTTGCTGCTGCTGCTGCTGCTGCTGCTGCTGCTCAGGTCACCGCAGCCGTGAGTTTGAGAGTTTATTGGGTTACGCAGCAGACGAAGAAGTGGCGCACAGAAGAAATTTAGTTTTGTTGTGTAAACAGGGCGAGGAGACAGTGTGGGACCCTAAACCCTAAACCCTAAACCCTAAACCCTAAACCCTAACCCTAAACCCTAAACCCCCCCACCCCACACGGAGACAGCGGAGACACTCGATCCCACACACACACACACGATCCCAACACAACCCCACCAAGAAACACACACACACACACACAGGATACCATAACAACCCCACCAAGAAACACACACATAACCACACTAAACACACAACACACACACACGATCCCACAGGAGATACACACGATCCCACAACACACGATCCCATAACACACGATCCCACAACACAATACACGCGATCCCAGGGGAGACAACCCCACAACACAACACCACTGACCCCACAACACAACACACACGACCCCACAGGAGATACACTCGATCCCAGAGGAGACGATCCCACAGGAGACGATCCCACGTCGGGGGGGGCCCTGAAGGGCCCCTTCAGGGGTCCCCCTAAAGCTTCTATGGGTACTCAAGGGGCTGGGAGGGCCCCTGAGGGCCCCTCAGGGGGCCCCCTGCCTGACGGGGGCCCCTAGGGGGGCCCCCTGGGGGGGCCTCCTGAGGGGCCCCCCTCAGAAGTGTTTTTGTATGAGGAGGGGCCCCCTGAACAGCAACCCTAGTGCTTTGTAAATGTTCCTTTGTAGGGGCCCCCTGAGGGGGGCCCCCTGATGCTGGGGGGCCCCCTGATGCTGGGGGGCCCCCTGATGCTGGGGGGCCCCCTGGTGCTGGGGGCCCCCTGGTGCTGGGGGCCCCCCTCGGGGGGCCCCCCGGAGGCTGGGGGGCCCCCCGAGGGGCCCCGTTTGTTGTTTGGTGGTGCTGAGGGGGGGCTCTTCTTGCTGCTTTGTTGTTGGGGGGCCCCCTGTTGATGGTTTAGGGTTTATGTTTGGGGTTGCTAGGGTTTAGGGTTTAGGGTTTAGGGTTTAGGGTTTTATTATTTTATTGTTTTTAAGGATTTGTTGCTGTGCAGTTGTCTTCATAGCAACAAATAGTTAAACACATAAAACAAATATAAATAAATATAAATATAAACATAAATTTATAAATATAAATATAAATATAAATAAAAGTTTATATATATAAATATAAATATAAATGTAGGTATTTTGTTTAGTGCTGCTATCCCCTCCCTGCTACAGACAAACAATGTGTGAAGCAGCAGCAGCAGCAGCAGCAGCAGCAGCAGCAGCAGCAGCAGCAGCAGCAGCAGCAGCAACAGCAG